ATGTCGCGACTCGGTTCTCTCGGGTTTCAGGTCATGTTGTAGCTCCCTCCTATTGAGCCACTCTGATAACGCCCACTGACGTGAGATTTGAGCATGTGGACTCGGTTTTATGTCTACCGAGGAAACAACGCATGTGTGGAACGCGTAGAGTGGATTGAAGACGCAGTCGGTTGATGGGACCCTCTCCATCCCCAAAAGGTCCTCACCTTGAACCATGTCATCCTAGGAAAACATTTTCTGCGGCCTATTTCTTGATTATAGAGTGCCAATACCGATCCTAGTGTAAACTCCTTTCACTCATACGGATGCCTGATGAAGTGATTTACTGATATATTAAAAAATCAGTTTCATGCGGTATTGATATTTCGGTTACCTATGCTCTTACTGATGTCTATGTCGTTTGCGTTAACGTGAATTTTTAAGGCAAACGTTAGGAAGTCCACTACAAGCTCTTGAAACGCACAGTTTGCAATTAATGCAGGGTTGGCTCAACTGGCCAACCAGTAAAATTATAGTTACTGGATAGTCACTTTGAAGTCATGCACAAACATATTTATCTATCTTTGACAGATAGGCGTACACCGATCAGTTAGAGGACACACTCGTCCGCTCATGATGCTTATAGAGCTCACACTAGAGCTTACGCCACAAGACGGCTAATGCTATAGGCAGAAGGACATTACCGACAAAGACAAAGAGGACTAGGATGGCCATTTCTGGCTTATTAGTCGTCGTCAGCCAGTCATACCCAGACTCAAGTGTTGCGTTTCAGGACCGATCAGAGTGAATTAAAAAGATGCTTTAAGTGAAGGTTTTACTCATGACTTATTTAAATCTGAAGAGAAGAGGCAGTAAACAGAAACCGGTCAACCTTTCATCCCATTCATGCTGTATTTTAGTGCTAAGAAAGCACCAGAAAATCTGGAGAGGGAGAGGGTTATATCGACTGACTGCGACTTTACTCATGCGTTGGATCCCTTAAACCCCCCTTCCTAAACCGGTCGTCACGCAATCAGTGACAGTTATCATCAGGTCTCACTGGGAGGGAACAGTTACGACATCTCGTCAGGGAGCAACCCTCCAGGTCACGCTTTTAATGCGTTCGGGAACCTTTAGGGTGCGTCAGCTTCATGATCCAGTGGGGTCAAGTTGCGCAGTGCATTCTGGCTCACCCCTATTTCGCGATTGTGTCATATCAAGTCCGAACCCACATGACTAGAGATGAGACCCACCGCAGCGGCTGACGTGAAATAAAATATTCGGCTTCTTTGTAGGTGGTCGCACAAGTTGGTGCATGTGGCTGCGTGAACTTATACCTAGGCGGTTGGTCTCCTACTGTCCGTGAACTCCCTTCAGCTTGTACGGAAAACACTGGTTGATATCCAAAACATTCATTATTGAAACAGTTAACACTTATTATGCTAGAATTAACAAAGCATTATCTGTAAACATCTATTTATGTTTGTAATCCATGAACAAAATCAGCCGTGCTTCGTCGATAAAAATCCATTGGCTTTGAATTCAGCCTCCACCACATTTTTGTTCTTGAAGTGTTTTTTGCTTAAATTTATTCACATGCTTGAAAAAGGGTAGTAAGTAGATGAAAGATTGAGAGCATATGGAGGATGTGGAAAAGTATCATATCCTAGGCCCTCGAATTTCTTCAGCGACATTCTAGTGCTGCATGGCCGTGCGTTGTCGTGGAGCAGAATTGAAATGCTTTGTATCATTACCGCAGACCTCATTTTTCTCAATTGAACATGCATTTTTTCAAGTTACTTCTGCTGTGGTGCTCTCATAAGCAACGAGAAAACTAATAGAGAATAGCAAGACAAATCACCAGACTGTCACCATAATCTTCAACTGATGTAACTTTGATTTTGGAGAAAGTTTAGGTACTTCGTCACGATCAAGCCATTGTCCTGATCGCTTTATCTTCAGGGCTTTAATTGTCAATAGGGACTTTCTGAAACCACCTTCGTGCTGTCCGATCAGTTGTGGATGTTCCTCCCAATTCTTTATTGATATTGGCGGCTGTTTAGGAAGCATTATGACCGAGTTTGAACTCATGCGGGAATGGTTAACGCATTTCATATCTTTTCATCTTCGTTATTAGGGGCTTCTTTTCTTCAACGTTGTACTCTGCACGCAGTTATACGATAATAAGCAAGGAGTAAACATCACGTATGTTAACGTTTGTAAGAAAAAACTGCATAAAGCTAATTTTTTTAATTGAGTCCAAAAATCGACCAGTATTTTCCACACAACCTAATATTTTCAAATCATACCAGCCTTAAACCCACTTTTCTTATTAAGATAAACCGACCCAAGTGGGATTAAAATCACGCTGCCCGATGGGGGCCTCGTAGCTCAGTTGGCTAGAACGTTGGCTACACTCCGTTGCTGGTGTGGGTTCGAATTCCACCGAGGCTGCCGAGTTTTTCACAATTGGGTTAAATTACCTATTTGGAGTTCTTACTGCTAATTTTGTTGTTAAGCAATCTGTTTAAAGCTATTGCCTCAAACTGCTTCGCATGTTTCCTTTCCCTTTTGGCCATCAGGATTGGTTATTGGAAGAAATTCGACGACTGGAACAGCTGGACTACCTGGTGAAGAAGTTCAACCTTAAGTGCTCCACCCACGAGGCTTGGTCCAAGGGCAAAGAGGCAGCACTTACGCAGCGGGATTACGAGAACGCCGGCCTCTCGCAGCTGAGGGCCCTCTCACAGAAGCACACGGCATTTGAGAATGACCTCGGAGCCCACCAGAACCGCGTGGAGCGGATCGTTGCCATTGCTGAGGAGCTGAAGTAAATTTTGTGTTCCATTAAAGCCCCCATTTGTTGGTTTTTCCCTTTGTTTATTTTACTTACAACGGACAGTGACCTTTAAAACGCGCTGACAATCTACCCTAAGTAGTATTGGTATTCTACTTTTAAAATCGTTTCTCACTTCTGTTCATCAGAACTTTGGTCTCTCTCTCTCTCTTTCTTTCCATCCGCCGTCTTTGTGGCCTTAGCAAAACCTGATAGAGTGCGGCAGTCATAACATCTACTTTTTATGCTTTTTAGCACATTTTTATGTCAAATATTTCCTAATATAACTTGAGCTTTTTTGTTATAAGGCTAGGAAGTCGGCAAAGGCCTGCTTCTAAAGCTAATGGATACCTGTTAAAATGCGACCTTCAGTTTCTAAATAGGTGTAAGATATAGGTTTACGATGAGAGTGAGTAACCAATTTTCTTAGGCCCAAGTGTATCTGAGTCCTTGAGAAAAGCAAATTATTGTAAAGTAAAAACTATTTTGGCCGAGTTTATTGTTTGCATTGAGTTGCCATGCATTGCCTGACAAAAAAGTGCACTAATTTTGCCCCCGAACGCGTCTTTGTTTCAACTAAGTTACCTTGTGGTGCTGCTACTCAGGCATTCTCTGATTGTCTTGCCTTCTGTTTTAGTGCCTACCATTATGAGGATGTTGAAACGATCAATAAGCGAACACAGTCGATCGTTTCCGAGTGGGATCGACTTGGTGAAACTTCTTTGGTTCGCAGGACGGAAATCAACGTAGGTGATCTGCCTGCCTTTCCGTTCTTCTGCGGGCCAGTCTTGTGAACGACTGTGGTTTCCCGCTTTTTCCATATGCATCTTAGCGGCGAACCACGCAACATGCGGGTTTTTAGTGATGCTGCTTGGTTCGGACGTCCGCCTTCAAACTAGGATGTCGAAATTCTTTTAGAATGAACAGCCAATTTGGCCCATAGTTAATACATCTAATAGACGAGTGAATATTCCTCAGCGTCGCTGTACGGTTTGACGACAAGCTCCTCTTTTGAGTTTAATTTTGCTGGGCGTCTTCTTCAGAATCCCAACGCTTTTACAGACCTGCGCTTATAGCTGGTGCAGTTTGCTTAGTGAATAAAGCCTTGGGAATTATTGTTTAAACTAATGTGTGTTTGTCTTAATATCACATGTTTGCTTCTTAACGAACGAACTTTCAGAAATCCACTGCTGGAGTACTTTTCAAGCCAATAAAAATATATTTTACGCATGTGGTTGAGAATCCAATTTGCGGTATCTAGCTACGCATAGTGCCCGAATGTATCTTAAACCTCTCTCAAAATACAAAACCGTACCCTGACCAGCCCTCAAAGCTTTTAACATCAACCTTTCATTTAAATTGCGGGGTAATTTTATTTTGAAAAGCAAGTTTCTTACCATGTTTAGGACAAAAATACTTTATGGATTATCTCCCTGCTCTGCCGGCAATAGCATGAACTTAAACTACGAATTCCCTTAAATAATTATCGGGGTATATCATTTCAGCTTCTTCTTCTCCTTTCC